GCACCCAGCTGAGGAGAAAATCACGTGACACGGGCTTTGCCAACCACCATGCCCCAGTCTCATCCAGACCCAGGCACCTGAGTCACACCCACGAGGAAACCTCCTTAAAGCTTAGGGCAAAACATTGCAGTCCAGGCAGCATGATCAAGGGAAAACGGTGGTTCTGCTGGAGCTGGACAGGAAGTGGCTCCTGCTACCCCGCAGAGGCCTCTGGGCATGAGGACAGCGGCAGGGCTGACTCGGCGAGTGCCAGGCACTCTGCTGTGCGCTAGACGTGCTCAGCCTCAGTGGCACCTCCCGGGAGCCCCGTGAAGACAGACATCTTTAGGTGTCGCCCAGGTGAGGCTGGGAGAAGCTAAACAGCCTCGCTAACATCACACGGCCAGTAAGGGGGTAGAATAAAGCGTGAACCCGGCGGTCTGACCCCAGCTCCAAACCGCTTCACCGCACTGCCTCTCCCCACCTACCCCTTTCTTAGCTGCTGCTGGCTTCTTCTTCCCAATGATGGAGCTTTTCAGTTCTGTGTGAGAAAGCGGGTGGGCATGAGTGAGGACAAAAGAACGCCCGGCAGCAGCTCAGTCCACACCAACAGCTTCACAGCAAGAACCTCTAAAGAGAATGCTTCAAGCAGGGGAAGGCAAAGCTGTCGCCACCAGGCCCAACCACCGGCATCCGAGCCAAACACAGACGCGGTTAGGGGCGGCTCCTGGCTCCCAGCACGTTAAGACAACCCAAGTCTCTGACCAAAACGAAGGCTGTTAGGTGGGAGCAGATGCCAAACACGACACTCAGCTCCTAGGGCAAGGAGCCAGCATGCAAGCGGCCATGCTCCCGGCCACTGCTGGTTACCTCTGGCAGGAAGGGCCCCCTTAGCTGACAGATACATGGACTCTGGGGGAGAAACAGACCTGTGGCTAACAAGGGGCCCCCACAGACCTCACGGCTCCCAGGCCAAGGCCTGTCTGGAGCCCTGCTGCAGACCAAGCTACAGCATTCTGTAGCCATCCTGACAGCCGCTTTGCTGCCCTCCCAACCCCCAAAGTCAACAGAGCAAACTGAGGTCAGCAGATGGATTGCGTACCCTGATCCAAGTTCAAGGGACACTTAGAAAACAGCTGAAGGCCAGGCCAATGCCGCCTCCAGCCAGCAGCAGGTCAGGGCTGTCCCACACACGGTGCAATGGCAGACGAGCTAGCTCTGCCTCTGACCCCAGGGACAGGTGTCTGGGCTCACGCTGGCCCAGGCCCTGCACACTGGCCCACCCTGGCTCCACAGCCCACGCTGCCTCTGTGACTTGGATCACAGCCGCCCCCCAGTGAAGTTCGGTGCTCCGTCTCCTGGGGCCTCAGTCCACGGGACCAGGCAGCAGCAGATCTGAAAAGAATGCCTGACGCCCGCCCTGGGCCCACCAGCTGGCATACTTACCCAGAGGTGCCTTGGGCGAGGTGCCAAGCAGGTCGGTGTTGGGGCCATGCTCCGGCTCTGTGGACGCAACAGGAGGAGTTAGTGTGAGGTTCGTAGCTTCCCACAAGCTCCCCTTGAAGGAAGCAACTGGCCCAAGGGTCACTGATTCTCCTCCGCCTCCCAGAAGGGAAAAGGCATGCCCGTTACTTCCTCCAAGGGCTGAAACGATCCCAGCCCACCCAAGGACGTGGAAGACTCCCCCCACAAGCCTGGGCCACGTGTCCCCACCCCAGCCCCAAGTCCTTCTCTGGCCCAGGGCACGAGGCTGGCATCCGGGTGAACTCACGGGCCAGGCCACTGCTCTCTGCGGACGGGGCTGGCTGCTGGATCCCTGCAGGCTCAGCGGCTGGCACATCCCAGGCAGGGGGCTGGAAAGGAGGCCACAGCAGAAGCCTCAGTGAGTCACGCCCGCTAGCAAAGAGCACCAAGAACCTCCAAGCACCCTGCTGGCACAGAGCCCTCGACTGGGCACACGAGGAGACTGGGAGTCAGCAGTAAAATCAGAGCAGCCGTTTGCTACGGAAGAAAAGGCAGGAAACGAAGCGGCTCCCCCGCCTTTCATGTTCGCTTAGAGCCGGAGCCCACTGCCCTGACAGCCTAGCGACCACCGAGACTTCCGTGCAAGGCACACAGTTACGGACACTTAACGATCACAACACGCCCTACAAGGCAGATCCTTCTCCACGTGAGACACTGGTGGGCAGTTCAGCGACGTGGCCGCTGTCACAGACGTGCTAAGTAGAGAAGCAGAGACTCAAGACTGGGAGTCTGACTTCAGCATCCGGCGCCAGCAGCAGGGAACCTGCCTCGCTCGGGCAGATCACAGGAGAGAGAACCCTTCCGCTGCCCCCAGACACAGCCCTTCGTACGGGGAGGAACCCAGGGAGTTACGGAGGGCCCCTGACACCTCCAGTGCCTGCAAGAAGCTTCTCTCCTAGCACCCCAGTTCATGGGGGTCCATTTCTAAGGAGGGCTGGGCAGCCCCAGTCAGAGGAGGAAACGCCTGGATCTACCCAGCAGGCAGAAGCCACCACACTAACCGTGCCCACAAGCACAGAAGGCCTTGGCACCCGGGGGGACCCTCCCGTGGGCGCTCACCTGAGTGTGCTCCGTGAAGAAATCCGAGTCCTTCTTCTCTGGGGAGTGGCCGGGAGCACTGCTCACGTTGTCTATCCAGAGCTGGAGGGGCAAAGGCACCCGTGAGGCCACAGCTCCCGACGCCCGGCCCGCTCCCCCAGCCCCCGGCAGGCACTCACGTCAGTGCCATGCCGGGCCAGCGCCGCACTCCCCAGCTGCCGGATCTTCTCCCGGTACATCTGGGCTGCTCGGCTGTTGTATTTGCTGTTGGCATCACTGGCTGTGCAGCCGTGCTGGCGGAAAAAGGCTGTCTGGGGAGCGAAAGAGAGCACACTACGGGTGATTCTCACCAGAGCACAAGGTATGGGTAGGAAGCACCCGCTGGTAACAGCCCCGCTGTCACGTACAGAGCGTGTGACACTAGCCATTTTATAAAGGTCAGGTCCCCCAGAAATGCCTGCAGAACACATCCGCAGCCTCCACCCTCCGGGAGGGCCAGACGGAGCCCAGCCCTCGCTCAACCCTGCCAAGGGCAGCCGCCATGCCCATTCTACTGCTCCTACTCCCAGGCAGGCCCACAAGCCCGCTGCCACTGGGGAGGGAGGCCCCAACCCTCTCAACCTTTCCCCAAGACCACTCGTCCTATTTAGTTTGAACGTTAAGGTCTGTGCCGACTTCCACGTTTAGAACCAACAATGTCTGGCGGTGGTAAAGACCAGAGAACCCTAAGAGGGGAAACCGAGGGCTTCCTGGAAGCCACGGCAGCCACCGCGCAGGCAGGAGGAGGGGAGGGGAGGGAGGAGGAGCTTTACCGCGTTGGCATTCCCGCCGACCTGCATACACCTCAGCTGGAACCAGCTCCAGTTGGAATCCAGCTCTGTGGACCTGTGAGCAAGGGCCGCACGTCACCCACCAGCAACGCCAGCACCCGCCCACCCCTGTCCTGTGGCCCTGGGCGGCCGGAGCAAACATCAGTCAGTCCCCACCCCACCTCCTCCACTCGGCCCCGGCCATGAAAGCTTGGCTCTCCATTCATCTCTTCCACAGGGTACTAATTATTCCCCCAGATCCAAAAGGAGGTCGCATTCCTCGGCAAACAAGCTTGGACTTGACTTCCCCTTAGGGACAGTCACCAGTCTCAGCAGCAACAAGGTCAATGCAGCCAACGCTCCCCCACCCCATACACCCCAAACTAGGCTCCCAAGTTTTGACCATCGAAAAAGGAGTCCCGACCAAGCCGCGGAGACCGGCTGCCGCTGCGGCAAGGGGCTCCCCCCGGCAGGGTCCTCCCGCGGGGTGCGGGAGGGTTTCCAAACACGGGACTGCGAGCGGTGCCAGTCCAGGCTGCCACCCGCCCCTGCTGACCACTCCGCCGCAGCGGAAGCAGAGCAAGCGCGCGGAGACCCCACCTGATGAAGCTGAGATGGACGCCCAGGGAGCGGTGGACCCCGCAGCAGTCAATGCACAAGAAAACACCATACGTGATGCTGGCCCAGCTCGGATTCTTGGCGCCGCAGTCGAAACAGGCCTGGGTACATTAGGCAATGAGCGAACGGTCAAAGGCCAGGAACTGAGGCCAGACGCTGACACCCCAGGAAAACAGCCCACCTCCGCCCCCCTCGGCCTCCCTCAGGCCCTCGGAGGGACAGGAGAACCCCTCTGGGCCCGCGCGACTTGCGGTCAGGAACCTTGTTGGTGGGAATTGCGCGAAGCCTCTTAAAAAGAGTCTGGATTTCGGTCTTGCTCGGTTCCGCCGCCATTTTCTCTCCTTCCCAGACACGACCGCGACCGACGGGTCCCGTAGCGGGCCAATCCGCGCCGGGGAAGGCGGACTAGACAGCTGGCCTCGGAGGCTCGCCGGCCAACTGCGGGGCGGGGCGGCTTGGGCCCTGTCTCGACCAATGAGCAGCCGGCGGTACAAGAGCAGAGACGTCAGCTGCCCCGGCTGCGCAATAGCCGCGAGAGTAGACACGGTGCCTCGCCGGGCCAATCCGCAGCCGGGGCGGGGCGACGGCTCGCCGGCGCGCCCAAATCTCCTCGCGAGCGCGGGCCGGACGCGCATGCGCCGAAAGGCGGGGTCGCTTCTGGAGCTACGCCGGCCGCTAGAGACCGGGAGCTAGGGCCCCGGCTTTGACACGCTACCGATTGATGAGTAATGATTAACAACCCTCTCAAGCACTCCTTGTCCCTCCGGTTTGGACGAGAACACACTGGCCAGGCTCCCGCCCAGCCTTGAGCCGAACCCGATTCACACCAAGCTTGATCGCCAGTCCCTTCCAATCCCGGTTAAGGTCCTGAAGTTCCAAGACTGGTGCCAAGGGACAAGCTCGCGTCCACCCCCGGCCCCACGACATCCGCCCGGCCCACGGCCCACCCCTCAGTGCCTCCTTCCAGGCGCCCTCTGGAGGCCTAGCAAGGGTAGGGTGTTCAAAAAAAAAAAAAAAAAAACGCACACACACTTGTCAATTTTTTGGTTTTTGGTTTTGTTTTTTGTTTTTTGTTTTTTTTTGTCAAATGTAATACACACTAGAACAAGCCACATAAGAGGATGCTGCTAGGCCCAGAACTACACTCAGCCCAAGCTCTCCCAAGGATTCCAAAACCGAGGCCAAGAACTGGGTCCCCAGCTCCTAGGGAGGCCTAGGCACCCAGAAACCCTTCCATGGCCTATGATCTCCCTTCTTAGCCTCAGGCTGGACTCAGCTGGCCTTTCCCCACAGGGCCCGCCCCTTCCTGGGTCCTGGGACTTCCTCTCTCCTCAGGGGACGGGGCTCCGCAGGGCACAATGGTTCAGGGCCCCAGGTCTAGCTGTCCAGGGAGCAGCTGGGCTCCGACCCAGGGTTGGAGAGACGTCTCAGAAGGGCTGTCAGGGCACTCAGGCGCCCACGCACTCCACGTAATTGGCGGGATACAGGCCAATGCGGCCGCTCTGCAGCTGGCCCTGGCACCAGCCCTGCTCATCCTCCTCACTCATCTTCAGCAGCTCCTCCCCTGGGAAAAGGGACGTTGGTCACTGCCAGCTGCCTTGGCCCAGCCCCTGTTCCTGCTACAGCCGGGTCAAGGACTGAGGGGGATGTGGCAAGATGACAGCACAGCAGAGAGAAGAGACACGGCCAGGCAGAGCGAGGTGGACGCCAGCAAGCCATCCCAGCCCAGGCCCCAAAGGCAGCACCCAGGCCCCAGCTGGCTAGGCCTGGGACGGTTAAGAGTTTGGCTTTGGTTAGAGGGTCACTGGCTTCCCTTTATCCACAGCCCTCCTCAGGCAGGTAGGGCAAGGACTGAAGCCGGGAAAGGAACAAGAAAGGGGCCCAGGGTACCTGCTCGGAAGCTCAGCTCGTCTGCTTCCTGGCCAGCGTAGTCATACAACGCCCGCACCCGCACGCCGGTGGCAGCTTTCCGGGGACTGTCCTCGTCTGACCACTCCTCATCCTGCCCACTGCTGGAGAGAGAGGTCAGAAAGACACAGCTCAGAGCACCAGGAGGGCTCGCCTGGGACTCGGGGCAAAGGGCTTACCCCTTGGAAGGACCCTGGGAGAGGCAGGTGGGGAGGAGCCGGGACCCCAGTCCCAGCTCTGCCACCCAGGTGCCGTTCCTGCCACACAGAACTGATGTGAGGCATCAGAGGCAGGAGTAAGCAGAGACACGGGGAATGCCCAGCAAACCTAAACCACCGTGAAAACTGGGGTTGTCGCACTGCTGAGTCAGCCCAGGCTCTAGCACCAATTTTCAACCCACTTCGAGTGCAAAGGGAAAGAGCAGAATGAAGAAGGCAGGTGGGGGGCAGACAGGGGCCAGACTGTGTCTCTGCCTCAGCCGGGTCCCTGGCTCTCACCCCGGAGACCCCAGGGACTGGGGTGGGGGTGCGGTGCCGTCTCTTGTGGGCACGATGCTGGTCAGGGTAACCTCGTCAGGGCTGCGACCACCCTTCTCCTTCCGGCTGATCGCCCTCTGTGTGTCCAATGACCACTCCTATGGGGGCAGAGGGGAGGGGACAGTGCTTAGAGTCAGGCTAGGCTGTGGCTGTGGTGGCAGCCGGGGAGCGCCCAGACCACTTTCACCCCACTTCCACCCAAGCCCCAGCCAGCCCGGAGCACGCACCTCAAACTGTGGCCAGTTCATGGCCATGCCCGGCCCATGGGTGCTGCGCCACCAGCGCAGATCCTCCTCATCACTGGCAGCCTCGATGCCCTGGTGCAGGTCGCGGTGGAGTTCATGGAACCTAAGGCCCGAGGTCCAACTTCAAGTTCAGAAGTCCTGGGCCCCGCTACCCACACCCCTCCCCCAACTCCCGCTCAGCCTGGCCAGAGCGCAAAGCAGGTAGAGGGCACCCAGGACCATCCCCCACACCCCGCCTGCAGGCCATACTTCTCACTGCTGGAGAGGTCGAGGTGCTGGTGCAAGGTGAGCAGCGTATCCTTGAAGAAGAGGAGCCGCTGGCGCTCGGCGGCCTGGCAGCTCTCGAAGGCTTGCTCCATGTCCTCCATGTAGCGCGGGGTATAGCGATTCAGCTCTGCCAGCGTCTGCTCGTACTGCGTTTTCATCTGCACGGGAGGATAAGGGACCAGGTGAGGACCAGGCCTTCTTCCACCCAGAACTCCGCCCGTATTATTGGCTGGGCACTGCCATGGCCGGACTCTGGGGCCATCAGTCCTGAGACCTGGCTCCTGCCCTCAGACACCCCAGCAGCTAGAAGAGATGAGGTCAGCCTCCAGGAAGGAGTGGGAGAAATCAGAAGGGGCTTCCTGGAGGAGGTAGAAAAGGCAGAGCAGCGGGAGGGCTGGTCACAGCAGGTGTCCTGGGCTCAGCAAGGAGCCAGGGGCTCTCCCCAGCTGCTGATGTCATCCCAGGGCCTCGAATCCCATTCCTTGCTCTGGGTCAAACGTCACCTACTCTCAGGTCCTCCTTTAAATGATGATGGGGAGCGAGGGCGAGAGCAAGAGGAGTGGAGGCACCGGAACGGCACACGGCAGCGAGAGTTACTGGGCAGGCCTCGCCCTTGGCCGCCCGGGGCCTGTACCTTCTCGGCCTCCTTGGTACAGCGCTCCACCCGCTCCTGCAGCTTGCGCAGCTGCTCCTGAGAGACGGCGCTGTCCGCCTTGGCGTGGCTCTCGCGAGTCTGGGCCGTCTTCTCATCCTTCCGGGCCGCGTGGTAGTTCTTCTTCGAAGCCTCAACCTGGCATGCACGGGGACAACTCTGGACCCTGGACGCCGCGCCGCGCCCCCCTCCTCCCCGGGTGCATCTCTGCCTCCAACACCCGCTCACCGCACCCAGGCTCACCTCCTTGAGCCTCTTCAGCCAGGGCTTCTGGGCCTTGCGGAAGCCGTCCTCGGCAGCCCGGCTCTCACGGAAGCCGCCCAGCACGGGCCGGTGGAAGGCGCCCCGCTGCCAGGAGCGCACCCGCTCGCTGTCCTGGCCCTGCAACTTCTCCCGCACCTCCAGGTGCAGCGCGCTCAGCCGCTCAGCCGCCGTGAAGAAGGCGTGCCAGGCCTTCTCCAGGGTGCCGTACTGGGGGCCTGCGAGGAGGCACGGGGCTTGGGGTCAGGCCAGGGGCACCACTCAGAATGACCCCACCCCTCTCACTGGTGTTACCCTGGGTACCAGGCACAGAGGCATGGCGGGGTGCAGAGATGAACAGCACTGCTGCGGGCCCTCAACATGTGACATCTTGCCGAATCCTTGCCCGCACCACCACCATGAAGACAGTGCCATTATCACCACTGAACAGGCGAAAACGTGGAGGCCCCACAGGGCCAGCATTGTGGTACAGCAGGTTAAGCCACTGGTTGCAACACTGGCATGCCTTGTCGGGGTGCCGGTTCCAGTCCCAGCTGCTCCACTTTCAATACAACTCCCTGCTAACACACCTGGGAAGGCAGCAGAGGATGGCCCAAGTACTTGGGCCCTTGCCACCCATGTGGGAAACCTGGATGGAGTTCCTGGCACCTGGCTTTGGACTGGCCCAAGCCAGCCATTGTAGCCATTCGGGGAGTGAACCAGCAGATGGAAGATCTCTCCCTCCATCACTCTGCCTTTCAAATAAATAAATGAATATATATGTGTATGAGAGAGAGAGAGAGAGAGAGAGAGAGAGAAAGAGAGAGAGAGAGAGAATAACAATGGGGCCCTCAGAGGTCAAGTTAACTTGCCCAAAGCATGACAGCTACAAGTAACGTTGAAGTTCAAAACCAGGTCTGTTGCCTCAGAGGGAAGAACCAGCGTCCACAAGACAGCCAGTTGTGTGGAAAGATCTCACGCCCCCAGTCAGAAGGCGTGGGCTCAACCTCCTGCTCCTCCCAGCTGTGTGATCTCAAGCAAGTCCCTTAGCCTCTCTGAACTTCCAGTTTCTCCTCTAGGAAACAGAGCAGAGCAGGACCACCCTGTTCAATGAGCTGTTAGAAATATCAAAATGATGGAGCAGGCATTCGGCTCAGCAGTTCAGCCGCTGCTTGGGGTGCCCACATCCTCTATCGGGTGCCTGGGTCTGGGTCCTGGCTCTGCTGCAGATCCCAGCTTCCTGCTAAGCAGACATTGGCTCAAGTGCGTGGGTCTCTGCCAACCACAACCATATGGAAGACCCGGATGGAGTCTGTGGCTTCTGGCTTCAGCCAGCCCTGACTACTGCAGTCAAGCAGGGAGTGACCCAACAGATGGAATACTTCTGTGTCTCTCTGCCTTCCAAATAAAATAAAAATGAATAAAGATGGTGAAAAAAAAAGAATTGGGAAATTTTCTTTTTTTAAAGAAATCTTAAAGTGACCCATGAGCACCGTGTGCAGACTCTGATAGCCCAACTATGAGGATAACCAGTTGGATCTTCCCTAAGGGATAGGCAGACGTGCGTGGGATGTCTCGGACTTTCCACAAGACGTACAAAGAGCAACTGCCCGATGGCCCCCCCCCAGCAGCCCCGCCCCCCCCGCTGGGCCTGAGCGTGCTCACCCTTTTCCACAGCGCCCCTCCACTTGCGGGCCCAGTCAGCCAGCTGCTGGGCGTAGGCCTTCTCGATGCGGGCGCGTTCCTGGAAGCAGCTGACCAGGTCCCCGCACAGCCGGTGCCCGTCCTCCACCCGCTGCACCGTGCGCCTGTAGTTGCCAGCCTGGGGCGCACACGGGAAAGGCACGTCACCAGGGAGAGCGCTTCACAGGCTGCAGCTGACGGCCGGGCCCCTCCCTGATGGGCAGCTGTGCCGGCCCCAAACCCCAGCCCCAGAGGCTCACCTCCCAGAAACTGCCCCCTAAGGCCTCCCCTCCAGCGTCCTCTTCTGATGCCATCGTGTCCCTGCAGCACGGAATGGTGGCGGATGTGAGGCTGTAGGGGACAGAGGCGTAAGCACGGAAGCTGGACCGACGCTTTGGGGGCTGGGAAAAGACCCTCTCCTCTCCCTGGGCCTTGTCCCACTGCCAGCTGCACCACATACGGAGCTGACAGAGCTAGGAGTCAGCAGGCAGGGCTGGAAGTTTTGCCATCCGCCCCCCTCCCTGGCCTACCTGGGCTCTAGCGGTCACTGCAGGGACCAGGTAGCCAAGTCTCCAAGCTGCCCGGTGACTCTGCCTTGAAGTGAACAAGAACACAGCAGGGGGTGTAAGGGGGGGCCTCGAGTGTCCAGGGCGGCGCCCGGCTCCCCGATATAGCAACTGCTGTCAGAAGCGCCAGATTCCAAGTCGGGGAATGCCAGGCGGGTCACACGATCCAGCAGGGATTAGGTGGCAGGCGGGAGTGGGTGGTGGGCAGAGGGCCCATTCCCTTGCTTCCAGGGCCCCTGTGGCTTTTCCTTAAATGATAAGGGGACCTGTTACAAACCAGGCCGAGTCAGTCGGAGGGTACCCAACCACACCCAGCAGCTCCCTGTGTTAGGGAGAGCAGAAAGGCCACCCGGAGGCCTATCTCAGCCAGACGCTGGGACAGGTGCACCTGCCTGTCCCCTCTGAAGGCAGCCTCACCTGGTCGGCTTCCGTGCCAGGGGTGCTGTTAGACTCAAGTCAGAAATGAAGGGCCACACGTGGGGCCTGGTGGTCCCGAGGAGACACTCATCCACCTGCACGACGTCCACGGAGAGCTGCCCTCAACAAGCCCACAGTCTGGGGCGGCGAGGGGGAGCCACACAGGCAATCAGCCAATCAGAGCGATCTCCAGAACCCGCAGAAGAGGACGAGGCAAATCCCAACCCCGAGGGGCCACCACCGCAGGGACTGGCGGACACAGTGGCACGCAGCCACTCCCCTCCTGAGCCTCTGGGCAGGGTCTCAGCTGTCCCAGCACCGACTGACTCACAGCCCCTAGAAGGAAATCGCTTCCTTCTCCCGGGCTGGCCCAAGGGACACAGGCAGGCCCAGAAGGCCAGAGTACAGCGCTCACTCCAGATGGATGACCCTCTACTCATCCTTCAAAACTCAAACCTGGGCCTCTCCCCACCCCCGCTCCTAGTCACTCTCCCCGTCCCTGCACCCTCAGGGCTCCCACAGCTGCTGTGCCCCCTCCATCAGGGCCTATATCTCCATGGGCTGTGACACATCTGTCACCAGGCATTGACTGAGGCTTCTGGGCTGTTGATGCACAGTTCCCCAGGCGCTGGTGTCCAGCATACTTCTGTTACATAAGAAAGGGAACGAGGCCCACCTGAAGACCAAGAAGCTGGGCTATGGCAGCTGGGAGAAGGCTTGACCTGAGTGGCTTCCCTCTCCATGACCAGGAGAGAGTGTGCAGGCTCCCCTGGGGATCCCCAGAGGTGCAGGCAAGGGAAGTGCCCGGGTGGGCACACAGCAGCTAGCCCACTCGGGACCTGGCCTGCTCTTTGCCAAGTTCATCCCAGGCACCCACAAAGAACTTGCCCACCAGATGGAGAGCGAGTTGCAGCTCTAAATCACAGGGCCTCTGGAGCTGCCCCAGGCAGGCATCGGGGGCCTGGGGCCCCCTGCCTACTCCAGCCTCCATGCTCCCTGCTCCCTGGAGAGCTGTCCCTCACCCCTTCCCTCTCTCTGGCCTCAGAACAGAGCGCGCTGTGTGTGCAGGGCTGGCACGGCTCCCTCCCGGCCTCCCAGAGCAAACACCAGCCCAAGCCCCAGGCACAGCCAGGCCCCTGCAGGCAGCCTCTGGCTTGATCTAGCTGTGGGGGTGGGCACCCAGGGCCTCCTGACCTCTGCAAGGACCCAAATCCAGCCCCCAGAACACAGGGGACCACAAGCTAAAGCTCAAAAGGCTGTTAGCACCATCATCCTAGCCAAGGGCACCCGCAGGGCCTGCAGAAGTTTCGGTGTTGAGCAGGATCTCCTCACAGCTGCCTGGCCAGGGCAGGGAGACCCTGCAGGAGGGTCGAGAACTCATTCTTCCCCCACCCCCACCCTTCAAAGCAGCTGGGGCATGCACCGGGGAGGGGTCACAGCCACCCTACCCTGCCCATCCCGGTGTGCGTGCTGCGCCGCGGGGCGGCTTCCCCCAGCAGCCCCAGGTTTTGAAGGCACGCACAGCAGGAAGCAGCCGGCCGGTCCAGAGGGGCCGGCACGAGCAGCCCGGGCGGCAGAGCGTGGGGGAGGAGGCAGGCCGGGGAGGGGCGCAACAAAGGGACACTTTGGGAAACCCGACCTGCCGGCCAGCCGAGGTGCCTGCTCCCTGGTGACGCACTCCGCACCCCGAGCCTCCACACCAAATCCCTGAGCCCAGGGTCTGCCCGTCTTGGCCTCAACCCTGTGGCCAGCGGCCCTCAGCAAGGCCCCCTTGCCGGCCCCGCGCTGCCGGACGCGGAGCCCACGGAGCCCATGCGGAGCGGCCGGGCCGGGTCTCGCCATGGAAGACTCCAGGGCTTCTTGGCCAAAGTTGCCGGACTTGGTCTCGGAGGGGGTGGGGCCAGCCGGTGCCCGCGGAGGGGAGGGGGCGACCCTGCCTGGGCGGGTCCAGCCGTGGACTGCAGACGGTGGCCCCGAGCAGCAGCCCCAGGAGTTTGTGCTCCTTGCTGAGGGTGAAAGGTCGTCGGGGAGCGAGCCCCCTTCTGGGGCCTCAGGGCCGGCGCGGGGCGCTTGAACGGGGGCCCTTGGGGAGCCCCAGGACAAGGTTTGGTCCGACGCCCCCGGGCCCCGCCGACCCGAGGGTGAGGGACCGCGGAGCTCGCGGCGCCGCACAGGAGATTCCCGCTCGCCTGGGCGGCTGCCGGCCCCGTACGTCCTCTCTCTGAGCTGGGCGGCAGGGGGCTGCCGGGGCGGGAGTCGGTCCCATTGCAAACTTCAGGAGTCCAGGGAGGAGAAGGCGGGCTCGAGGCACTGCCCCCGCCGCCGCGGACCCGCTTGTCCCTCCCCGACCACTCACCGCGTCCTCCCTGGGGCCCTCGGCGGGTGGGGGTCCGGCCACGCTCCGGCCCGAGTCCTGCCACTCCTGGGCCTTGGCCGCGGCCGCCTCCCGGAGCGCGCCCGGCCCTCCCCCGGGAAGCCCGGCCCCCGGCCCCGCCCTCTCCTCACCACCCCGGCCCCAGCCCCACCGGCCGGCCGCGCGGCTGTGGGGGCGGCCGGCATCGCGGCGACCGGCGGTTCCCGGGGCGCGGGCCGTGGGGTCTCCGCTCCGGTACCTGGAGCGCCAGACCGATCCCCCGGGGTGGCGCCGCGAGGTTGCAGGGAGTCCGATTTTGGCTTTGCCACTCCCCGACCTTTGCAGAGCCTGGGAGAACTGGTGGGAGCGAAAGAGAACGGGGCCTGGGGGCGACACTGCCCACTGCCTTGAGTTCTTGGCTGAGCACAACTTTCCTAGGAATTGGCTTGGGCAGGCGCACCATCACTCGCCTTGTAGGCATTAGGGTTCCCATTGCACAGATGCACAAACTAAGGCTCAGAGACCATCAACCGCTTGCCAAAGGTATCTCGTCCGGCAGGGCTGCAGGCTCGGAAACCGATCCCTGTCGGAGCCCAGCCGCTGCCTGCAAATCTTGGGGCGTTTTCGAAGACCTGGGACAAACACGCGGCGGCGGCGGCGGGGGAGGGGTGGGAGACAAAAATGCGTAAGCTCCTCCCTGCGTATTCGAATTCCCAGGTTTTGTACCACAATTCATTCTTAAATCCCTTCGCCCCTGCACCCCCTTTTTCAATCTGGCAAATTTTTCCAGGTCGCCACAATGCCACCCCACCCTAAATAAATCCCTCCTCCCTTCCCTCCCCACACCCCCCCCCCTCAGGGATTTTTCGGAGCCTGCCTGCCTGTTATTTATATCCACTGGAGCGGTCCAAGAATGTTCCGAGACTGACCTAATCGCCACCTGCTCGGCCACCCCGCCCCTCCCGCTCCCTCCTGGGCCCGGTGACCCAGCGGCCATGCCTTGCTCCGGGCAGGAGAGGCTCCGGGCAGGGAGAGAGGCGCCGGAGGGTGGGACGCGCCGAGTGCTTCAAGGGTCCAGGTTCGCTCCACGCTGCTAACCCCAGGCACTTGGAGGAACGCGCCCCAGAGGGCCGGCACGCCGCGCCCTGGGAAGGCGCGGGGCCGCCCAGTTCCCGGCCCCGCACGTCCGCCTCCTCCCCACCCCCACTCCCAGAGGACCGAGTACGTGCGCGCGGATTTTTGAAATAGCGATTTCTGTTTCCAAAGCCGGGAGAAATCAGTGATGCGGTCTTGATACTTATGAATCCGCTAGCCGAACGGGAATGGGGTCTGAAGAGAAGGAGTTGGGGTCCTCCCGGGAGGTTGAGGGGGGTGATCCTGAGGATTGCTGCGAGGACTCCTTGGAGCAGGGAGAAACTGCCTCCCCCAGGGGCTGGCGGGGCGCCCCGGAGGAGCGGCTCGGCTGGACACGCTGGCCGCGCGTCCTAGTGGGTCTGAAACCTGAGGCTGTGGCTTGGAAACCAGTTTCAACACCCACTCTCTCTTGGGGCCTGGACAAGTCCCTTCTCTCTCTCTGTTTCTACCTCTATAAAACATGACAGGTGACCCGCCTGAACTTCCACCGGGTGATCGCCCTGGCTAATTAATGATTGTAAAACAACTGGGAGTAAGAGGTACTGGGGAAATGCCTAATGACAGCCATAGCGGTTTGTATTATTTAAAATCAGTTAACATCCCACCTAGTGCCTGGGGGCCCTTAGGCATCTAGGCAAAGTGTGAAAACACAAGAATGAAATTAATTACCGGAGCCGCCTATTAAAACCTCATTAAAAATCGAGTTGGCAGCCAGGCTCTGGGATCTGGGGAAACCAGGCCATCGAGAGACTTGGAAAACAGGGCTGTTCATCAGACCACAAGGAGAAGGGGACTTGGAGAGGAAAACTTCTGGCTTCCCTCCGGTCCAGATCTGGAAGCAGAACAGCAGAAATTTGCAGCTGATCTTAATTGCCACCAAGATGGGGGGGGGGGGCTGGGAATCAACCAAATCCCAGAGCAGAGTGGGCTGCTTCCAAGGGGCAAGGAGTCAGCTGTGCCCTTGGAAAGCCAGCTGCCAGCCAGTACTGCCCACAGGGCTCAGGCCCATCCTTCGCGGCCAGAGCGCCTGCCACTCACGCTGCTGCATCTGAACATAGCTCAGGGTCCCAGGGCTAGATGAAGGCAGAAACCTATGGAGGCAGCTTGGCTCAGGCAGCGCATGGATCCACAGCCAAATACCAGACACTCAGACTCGCCTTGAGTTTCTGGAATGTCCTCGCCACTGTGCCTTCATTTATTTGTTTATTCAATCATTCATCTGACCAAGAAAACATTTGAATTTTCGCTCTATGCTGAGTCCTATGCTGGGGGTTGGAGATCCAAAGATTCATAAGCAGAGCCCCAAGTGTACAACAGTGAAGCAATGTAGATGTGAGGTACAGTGGGGAAACAGAGGCACAGGATACCTCCCTTCCCAAGGACAAGACACTTGGTTGGGCTTGATGAGTAGGAATTAGTCATGTGAGAGGCATTCTGGGCGGGTGCATGAGGGTGTGCCAAGCCCTGGAGGCATTAGCCTATGACTTTGTCACTCCGCAATTCCACTTCTTGGTATCTACCCTAGACAAACATGTGGACAGGGGCAGCAAGACATTCAAGGATATCTTCATGTGGAATTGTTTGCAAGACAGAAAACTGGAAACAAATAACCCCTACAAGAATGATGGTTGACTGACCTAACCATTTGTTCATGCCACGTATTACTCTTCAACAACTCAAGAGTAAGGTAGAGAGATGGAGTTACATACAAGGACCTCCAAGACACTGTTGAGTGCAAAAAGCAAAGTGCACAACACACAAAATAGTCAGAGAGGGTAACACACCACTGATTTGGGAGTTACCTCTAGGGATAGGTCGAGAATTTGGAAGGGAGGTTTTTGTAATGTTAGAAAATTCACAATGAGAATGTGCCCAGGTGTAACTTGGGTCATTAAAATAAAGAATTGAGGTGAGAGGTCTATGAGTCTTTGTGTCTGCCCAATAGAATTTTTTTTAATTTTAATTTTTATTTTTTTGACAGGCAGAGTGGACAGTGAGAGAGACAGACAGAAAGGTCTTCCTTTTTGCCGTTGGTTCACCCTCCAATGGCCGCCGCGGCCGGCGCGCTGTGGCCTGCGCACCGTGCTGATCCGAAGGCAGGAGCCAGGTGCTTCTCCTGGTCTCCCATGGGGTGCAGGGCCCAAGCACTGGGACCATCCTCCACTGCACTCGCTGGCCACAGCAGAGAGCTGGCCTGGAAGAGGGGCAACTGGGACAGAATCTGGCACCCCAACCGGGACTAGAACCCGGTGTGCCGGCGCCGCAAGGCGGAGGATTAGCCTATTGAGCCGCGGCGCCGGCCGGCAATAGAATTTTTTGCAATGTTAGAAATGTTCAGTAACTGAGCTGTCTACCATAGCCATGAGAGCAAGTGTGACAAGAAGTCAATGTTTCATTTCATTTTATACTTTTTTAAAAGAATTATTTTATTTATTTGAAAGATAGTTATGAAAGAGGTAGAGCCAGAGAGAGGTCTTCCATTCCACTGGTTCACTCCCCAAACGAGCGCAACAGCCAAAGCTGCGCAGATCCGAAGCCAGGAACCAGGAGTTTCTTCTGGTTCTCCCATATGGGTGCAGAGGCCCAAGCACCCGGGCCATCTTCTACTGCTTTCCCAGGCCATCGCAGAGAGCCGGATCAGAAGAGGAGCAGCCAGGACTCAAACCGGTGCCCATATGGGATGCTGGCACTGCAGGCTGGGGCTTTAACCCATTGCACCACAGTGCCAGCCCTAACACTGAAAAAAAATTTACTCATTTATTTGAGAAGCAGAGTCACAGAGAGAGGGAGAGACAGAGAGGTCCTCCACCTGCTGGTTCACTCCCCAAATGGTCACAACAGCCAGAGCTAGGCCGATCTGAAGCCAGAAGCCAGGAGCTTCCTCTAGGTCTCCCACGCAGGTGCAGGGGCCCAAGCACTTGGACCATCTTCCATTGCCTTCCCAAGCCATAAGCAGAGAGCTGGATTACAAGAGAAGCAGCCAAGACTCGAACTGGCACCGCAGGCAGAAGCTTAACCTATTATACCTCAGAGCCAGCCAGCCTCATTTTAAACTTTTTAAATTAATTAAAATGTGGCTGGACAGTGCAGGTCTAGATCTAGAATAATGAGTTCATGATGCAGTGGCGACAGCTGGGAGATGATGTCAGAAAGATAGATTGGGATTGGATGGTGAAGACTCGCAAGATAGGCTAAGGAATTTGGGCTTTCTCCTCTAGGCCATGGGAAGTGTGCAAGGGAATAACTGGACCAGAGTTACCTTCCTACAAGAGAACTCTAATCTGAGTTCACTACCACCTGCAGATCCCGCCTCCTGTTTCCGCTATTGCAGACTCGGCTCAGTGTTGATAGCTCAAGTGGTTGATTTCCTGCCACCAGTGAAGGAGAACTGGATTGAGCTCCTAGCTTCCAGCTTCAGCCCAGCCCTGGCTACTGTGGACATTTGGAGAGTGAAGCAGCAGACGGGAGCTCTCTCTGTGTGTCTCTCTGCTTCTCAAATTAATTCATTAATTTCAAAGATAACCCCTGGCAGCCCTGTTGGAGGGAGGCTGCGCATTGCGCTCTGGCCGGCCCCTGAAGGCTGCCTTGCCTCTCAGGTTTCTCTCTGGCCTCTGGACATTGCCCCTGCATTCCTGACAGGCAGCTGAGTAAAGCATTCTGATTTAAGTGCTGTGTTTGAAGATCTCAGGCTACTCCAGGTGGGAAAACTGGTCCCTGCTATGGAGAGGGGTTAGCCTCAGTGGGGGAGAGATCCACAAACAAATACAACATAGAAAAAGTGCTGTGGGGGTGCAGGGGACAGCAGCTGATGGTGCTACAGTGAAAATGCTTGCTAG